GAGAGAGAGAGAGAGAGAGAGAGAGAGAGAGAGGGAGAGGGAGAGAGAGAGACTGGTTACACAATGGAAGAACGCGAGTCGGGTAAAAAGCGATGTAACGCGGATTCCATCGCGAACCGACCGACGCGTTTACCAGAGGCTTTTGTCCGACAGCGGAATAATTCCTTCTAAACGCGGCGGACGCGATGGGAAAGCGATTATTTTCGCGCGCGGCTGCCGCCGAGAGCGTTGCGTGCGATCTAACGCGAGAGAATGAATTATCGAGTTAATGAGAAAATGAAGGGACCCGCGATGGGTGGAGTCGAACACGCGAGACAAATTAATTCGTCTCCGGCGGCTATCGGGTTGGAAAGCAACGGGAAGGATAGGCATTTAGACGGATGGAATTTCAGCGGCGGCGAGCGAAACTCGATTCTGCGAGTCGGCTTCGCGGTACTAAAACTTTTGCTACCGAGAAGCGATCGCCTCGCTGGAGCGCCGAGATTGGCTCTGGTTACTATCGTTCGAATTCTCTTGGTTATCGCGCGCGCGGCGAGTCCTCAGTTCCAGCGATTACCCGGCGCGCGCGCGCGGCAACACGAGTGTAAAGCTCCGTGAATTCATCTCGCGTCTGCTATGTCGCGTCGCGTCGCGTAGCATCGCGTTGTGAAGGCAAGATCAACTTACCGTAGAAGTAACGCGACCAGTGCCTCTCCTCTTCGGTCCGCGCCGCGCTTTTGTCCTCCAATCGCGTCTTTTCCCATATCCGTGCAAGAGAGCGTGTGATGCTGGCTCGTTCTGTGCGTGTGCATGTGTGTATGTGCGTGCGTGTGAGTGAGTGAGTGAGTGAGTGAGTTGTCGCGTGTTCGCATGTGATCCCTCTAATTTCAGCTCAACTGTCGCGTCCATATCGCTTCTTCCCTTCTCTCGCCGGCGCTTCTCTTCTCCGCTCCTCTGTTCCTGGCGCCAGTCCCGACGACACACGCTTCATACGACCGTGTCCATCGTATGTCGCGCGCCGCGACGCCTCGTCCCGCGTGATCTACGCCTCGACAATTAACCAAGTAGATTGGAAGAATTCGTACGACTTCGTACATCGTTTGACGAGGACCGTTCTCGGTTCACCAGTACGGCGCGTCGTTCGCCAGGTGCTGCCACGACGCGAACTCGCTCCAGGTGCGCACGTTCGCCCTGGTCGCGTCCGAGATGCGCGGTATGCTGTTCTCGCGGGAAACGTTGCTCGGGAAACCGTCGCACTTCGTGGTCAAGATGTCGTAGCGTTTCGGCGGTGCTCGGGGCTGCAACAGAAATCGTTCGTGAACAGGCTTGTTAGAGGACGGTTGACCTTGGCACGCACAGTCATCGCCGGGATACAGCGAGGTCGTAAACTACACTTTCGTCGGTTCTCAAGGCGGAACTCGAAGAGCGAGGAATCGGTGACAATCGACGCCGCGACCGTGGGACCGTGTCAAAGGTGCCGGCCACAGTTTTCGAGTCCTAAAGCGATCGAGTTTCCGTCGATTCCCTTGTCCCGTCACTCGAAACACGCTCGCTTTAACGGCCGAGAGATTTTACGACCTAGTTACGTCTTGGCAACGACTGTACACGCTACGCGACCGGGATTAAGGACTGCGCACGCGGGGAGACTGTGTATGGTGTAGGGGAGACCGAGGGGGCTCGATACGTTTGTCGGTCCAGAGTTTTATGGGTGGTAATATGATAAGATGCGACTGATAAGAATGACAGTTGAATGAAATGGAAACGTATCGATTCGCCCCACCGCTACACGCCTACTCAACCCAACCTGCCCCGTGCGACGGGTCACGAATCGTGGTAACGAAGTGGATACGCACACGAAAATGGCAACTAACACTTTTGGAATAGGTATCCATCTAGCTAACTTCATCGAAGTCCTCAGACGCCTGGTGAAGCTAGCCTTCTGGGCAACCGGAGGCCTTTGAAAACCTTTCCAAAAGGTCTGCGGTCCGGACAACAGTATACCGTCGGTGCCGCGTCCTCCGAGTAGCTACACACCTCCAGTTTCTTGCGCACGATGAAGTTCTCGCCGTCGTTGTTGTCCCAGAACTCTTTTCCGTCGGTGCGATACCTCACGCAGAACTCCACCACGTTGGACTTGAGCGGCAGAGTCAAACGGAACCGGAACGTGTCGTAGAGGATCAAGGCAGGCGCGCCCGGTTGCTCGACGTAGGTGCAGTGCACGTCCTCGTGGGTCTTCCACGAGTCGTTGCTCGCCCTGACCACTACCTCCTTGTCGTACGCTAGATTCCGCACCTTCACCGTACCCACCAGACACTGCTCCGACTCCTTCACGATCACGTTCTCCAGGCTGACGTTCCCCTGGTCGAGCTTCCGCCGGAAGGCCAAGTAATCGCTGGCCGGCTGGGGGAAAGTCACCTGCCACGGCGACGCCACCTCCGTCGGCTCGTCGTTGTCTATTTTCGAGTGGAGTAGCCGGCCCGTTAAGCCAGCCAGGTACGCTGTACTCCATAAAGGCGGCACGTTGCTCGGCTCCGACATCACGCGGACCTTTACATCACCATCAAACATTTGTCTCGTTAGATCAATTGTCAGCGTGTTGGAATACAGAACAAAGAAACGGTAAAATAACGTATGACGATCACACCTGGGTAAGAGGACGACCACGGTCGTCCGCGAACACCACCCTCTTCTTCTGCTTGTTGTTACCATCGTTGCTGCTGCGTATGTTGTTAATCGCCAGGGAACCGGACGAAAGGCAGGGCCTTATCCTGGGCGGCACCGACCTGCTGGTAATCGTCGGTGCCGTTACCACCAAGGGGCTGTACAGCAACGAGCTATACACTGGCGGACTGTGCCCCAGAAGCAGCTCAGCGGGCATCGCTATGGAACACATTTAGACCTGAAACACGAAGAGCAATTGTCGTTATTACAAACAAGCCCGATTCCTGGATTCTATCGTCTCGCGTGACACTGGGCCAAGTTTCGAACGTCTACAGCTTCCATGCAGAACGAGTCATCCTCTATTTTGAGCCACTCGGAATAGTTTGTCGCTTCGACTACATCCAGAGAAAAAGTACAGTCTACGAATGGAAGCGATCGGCGGTGGATCTCTACCTTCGCGGATCGGAATGGTACTTTCGGATTCGTTCGCGTAGAACCGACGGTGAACGCGATCTCGCTTCGCCGGCAGCACTGACGGAGTCGAACGGTTCACCGACGGAAACCTTTAATAACTCGGAATACCGGGGGCGCGGGCAGTTGCCAGATATTTCGTCAACGGAACCGCGGCTAGAGGATCACCGATCACGCGGGACACGCGTCGGCGATCAAATATTTCCGAGTAGAAAGATCCCCGAGTGGGAAGGCACGAAGCGCGAAGGGAGCTAAGTCAGTCTCGTAGGTTTCAATGAAATGTTATCTCTCGGTTGCAGAATCAGCCGGCTCGATCTGTTGACCGACTTGCTTGCCGGCGTAGATAGCTCCGGATATTTTTCCGAATACACAGAACTAGATATACCTGTCCGGGCGATAGTGCAACGACATCTCCATACACGACCCGGCCGAGAAACTTGAAATTCGAAACATTCGTCGCGTTCCCTTCCGATTTACTTTCCCCTCGTAACGATCTGAATGCAATTAGTGATCCAATTCCGGTGTAGCCGTTGCCACGATGTATTACAGGACAATTGAATTGCCGAGTAAGCAACGACTCAGCAGTCCGAAAGTTGTGCATCGAATCGAAGCTTCGAACGTTGAAACGTAAATGTCTGTTGCACTATCGAATCGAAGAATCTTGCCAACTAGGAAGTGCAATGACGAGAGAACTCGTCCTCGATTCAACGCGCCGGTAATCAAGATAACTTCTACAAGAGAAGAACGCAGTGAGGCCGCGATCGATCCGGAAACGAGAGGCTAAGGGAAATTAGCTGGTCGCCTGGACGTGTCGAGCGCGTCGACGGATATCGTACGACGGAGAACGTGGACACGCTGGTTCTATCACGGTGGCGGTCTTCTACGTGTCGGAATAGGGGCCCTCGTGTAGTCATGTTACGCCGTGGAGTAGAATTACTGGCTCTTAACTATGGCGATAGTCTTCTTCTCCCGTCCCGCGAGACTCGCTCGCAGAACTAGACTCGGCATGTAAGTACCAGACCGGAACCGAACGACACACGCACGCACACACGCTGACACACCGTCGACACACCGCCGACGGCGTTCGGTGCGTGAAACCTGGAGGAGAATGATACCAGCGCGCACGGATCAACCGGTATCGTGAATTGGATGTTTCGGGTTTCAGGCGACTCGAATGTTATGACCGGTCATTTCACGATCTCCCCCTCGGTTCCCATTCAACGGAGAGAGACTGCTGCTGGAACAAGGGAAAAATGATTTTGTAATCGTCGTCGTCGTCGTCGTCGTCGTCCCGAGGAGAGGCAAATAAACGAGGATCGGCGAACCCCTGCATTCCTGCAGCACGCGATCGCCCCGACGTCGCGTGCACGGCCGGTCACCGGTGACCGGCGCTGCCGTACGCGGCGTCCGACGAAACTGAAATCCAATTCCCATTGACAGTAAAATTGCTTTCCACATTATACCCTTTAATGCGGCTCGTCGTCTCGAGGGGAATTCGTAATTAAGCAATTATCGCGGATAGAGAAGTAAACGGTCTTCTTCCGGCGCTGAATGCACCGCGTCCCGAAGCGGACGGCTGATAAGTGTATTTATAGTTGCGACACCGCGGTGTTCCGAGAGAAAAATTAACGACTTTTAATTAGCCTCGCGATCAGAAGCGCTGTATTATTATTCGCGAGGCTAACCTCGTGCACGCCGCGAATAGTTAATGAGAACGAGCGAGATCGACTTTGTCGCGCGACGAAAAAAAGTCGTGGAACAGCTCCGAGGTTAGGGGTGACAGTAAACGGCTTATGCATTGTTTATCGTTACGTGAACGGGGTGTCAAGGTCGGACTGTGTATTCGGCCTGTTAGAACAAACGGAGGAGACGAACGACGACGACGATCGGAAGGAGAAAAAAAATAAAAGAAAACGGAGACTCGCTTATCGTGTAATTTTCTGCATATTTTGACTCGTGACTCTGCGCCGCGTAGACTGCATCGGTGGTATCGTCGAGATTTTTCCTGCGGCGTTATCTCGCCGACAATTTTGTCCCGTTAACTTCTTAACCCGCCGGCAATAACAACAATATACCCGTGGCAACAACGTGCATTGTCGGTCGCGCGGCAATGAATCTTCCGTGATTCAGTGTCTCAGTCAAACTCGAGCGGGTTTCTTGTGCAATCATTGTTTTTCAACTGATAAATCCGGCAATTAAAAAAGAACAAACAAGATGGCGGCCGGTGCATCTGAAAAAGAACGACACTCGCGTGAACAACCGATCGCGATGCAACGAAAGGGGCAGGAGGGGGAGGAGGAACACGGTCTGACCTTTACGCGTCGTCGGCTGAAATCCAGCTCGCAAAAGTTTTCTAGGTTAAACGACACATTTCGTCACTCGTGTCTGTTTTTCTATTTCTCGTTCGTCCGCGATTAAAACGGTTCGCGTTGGTCAACGCCGCTTATCGCCCGACATCTGCGCACCACCGTACGCTACGTGACATTCGGTTCACATGTTCCAGGGGTCCAACCGATACCGATAACTCGCCGGAGAAATCTGTATACGTACGCCGGTACATCGGTTCCCATCGTGCGTCCTCGACACGTCGTCGTTCCAGTTTTGCAAAACGAGCAAACCGACCGACGGATTCCTATGGATTTACGATCCAACCTTGCCTGTTCCGTACGAGGGGGGCCCCATAAAAAAGTACGCTAGGTGGGCGACAGGCTGCGTCAAGGAATGCCAACGATGCGCGTCGTACATTCGTCAATTTACAGAGGGCAGCGTTTGCACCCGAAATATACCCGATTCGGTCGTATTTATCAACTATTTACGCTGTTCGATGACTACGCGTCTTCTCGCTTCGATGGACCTCGACGACAACGTTCGGAATAAATCTAATAAATATTTATCATAACGGTAGACTTCATATTCCAAAATTGATAATCTGTTTCGTGGAATTCTCCGTCGGTAATATTCTTCTGCAAAAGGATCCTCATTCTCCCGCGAGAGAGAAAAAAAGGGGGAAAACATTGCGTGAGAAATCGCGGCAATGATGTAACAGTCTCGCGAAATAACTTTAGGTCTATTTATGGCGCGTCGCGCGAGGAGGAAAAGTACCCGAAGAAAGCGGAACCGGTGACGAAAAATTCCCCGGGGTTGGAAACGGGGCGCGATAAAAAGTGAACCGCCGACTACGTACCAGCACGTCACCAGTATCTTTATGTTTCATAACTTTGCGGCCGGATTGTCCCGTGATGAATACGTGTTCGAACCAATCGTGAATCACGGGAATGGGACGACACCAGATAACACGCTCGATCGTCTCCTAATCCAGACGAAACACTGCTGATCCCGTTGTTTGCTCACATGTCGGTCCAGACCTATTATTTAACTATCGATAAAGCTCGATATCTACCGATCGATCGGTCAAGTGGTTTATATAACCCGATAGAAGGTACGTTCGCTACTCAAGAAATGTGGAACTGCGCATAAACCCTTTTCCCGCCAATTAACAGTCCCTTCTGCGCAGCCGCCATTTTATTGCGCATCGAATGAATCATTCGCGAACATTGTTGTGATTTTGATTACGCGTAGAGCTTTATCGTTTTTATACGACTAAAAAAGTCTATTCGATAAATAATTGGCGAATAATTCATATTCGATTACCGAACGGTAACGTTGCAGCGCAGACACAACTGAGATTACGGTCCCCATGCTACAAAGTGTTGAACTTACAAAGTCCGATCGAATCCCTGGAATATTTCTGGCTGTTCTAACTCGAGTCCCGCGGTGACGAAACCGAACGACCGTTAGGTTCATTTGAAGGTTCACGTTTCAATAATTCGCCGTGATAATCGCGGGCAGATTAGGAATGGTCGCGACCCTCGGCTAGTCATGGTACAGGCATGTTCGCGTTTCGTGACTCGGGCGAGAAAATTGCGCAGCCGTCACGCTATTTCGACTGTACGCCGGGTTAAAATTAGAGTGGCGCATCTTCTAAACGCTACATACACTGCGACGCGTTACGCCCTTGGAACTGGTCCAATCGTCTGCCCGCCCGAGGGACGCAAATGGACTTCCTTTCAAGCGGGAAATCAAACGCGTGCCCGCCGCGAGATTTTCGAAACTGAAAACCACTTTGTTTCTGCGACGCGGCGATCCGGAGGAGTCTATCGACCTCGTTCGTTTCACGCGTAACCAATCTGGTCGAAACGTTCGCAGCTGCGAGATCTAGATTAGGTTTAACTGCTGCGTTTATTCACTTAACCTAACTCGCGAGCGCGCAGCGTTGCGTTCAGCATTTCATTTTACCGCGGTTGTTCGCTAATTAATTTATCTTTCCTCGGTGATTCGGCGATTCGGTGAGTACTTGGTTATCTTGTTTATTTGATTTTCACCGTGCACTCGGCTCTCGCCCGACTGTTTGTTATAAATATTTTCATCGGCAACGTGTGCGACGATAACTTTAATTGGCATGTTTATTACTATGATTATCTAGCCACGAGACTGGCGAACATGTGTCGTACAAATCGATGCTCGCTCGGTGCGTCTAGCCGCTAAACGAACTGCTTAAAATAACTGTCTGGTAGGATCTACGGGAAACCTGATCCTCGTTTACCTTTTTCTCAGTCGCGTCGTGTTTGTACGGTGTCAGTTTTGCTCTTGGACATTCGAATAGTGCCGGGTAAGGGTGTTTTCTATGAATACATTTTCCAAACGTGTTTTTCTATTTGAGTAACCCCGCGTGGACCACCCAGGCTCCGTTTCTAGGTTAGAATTGTTCGGTCGAACCGATCCTGCTGCGTCTACAGTTTCATTGAAACAAATGGAAGTTCACACACGTTCCGAGTGAACGAGTATCATTGATAAAATATTATTTTTAATCCATCCCGGCGATTACAGAGAATTTATATTGAACGGCCGTTATCTAACGAGCGTCGCGGCGGAAAAAAGCCGGCATATTTCAGTCCCGAGCGTTTCAATTATAATGAAATTCTCATCTATTGTTAATTACTGTCAATCGCCCCCGATAACGAGAGGTCGCGGGTTATTGCAAGTCACGTGCGGAATTAGACTACGACTAATCCGAGAGATAATGGTGGCGAGGCGGATACATATGTATTTATATACACATATATGTATGTATATATATTTACATATATGTACATATATATACACAATCCCTGATTTATCATAGACTTCAAAAATTTCGCAAAAATTGACCAGCCGGAAACGTTGACAACCGATATCTCGAACGATAAATTTCCCCGTCGGACGAGTAATTAACAGTTAATTAATGGAATCGACCACGTGGAAGAATCTCGCTGGCGATTCCATGGAAACCGTACGAAAAAAAGGAGAAAAAAAGGAGAGAAAAAAGGTCGCGCGCATTTTGATAGAGGTTATAACGAGACAAAAATATTATTATCATTATTATTATTTATTCCATTGAACGGAATAAAGTTCCTTCTTGAATAACCGTGTAATCGACGATACGCGAAATTTGAGGGCGGTTAATGAGGTATCATTAACAAATTATAAATCAAAGGTCGTTCCGCTCGTCGGCGACGATATTAAGTAGTTGCACAAGAGACTCATAGATTACTCTGCAGTGAAAAATGTGTGTATTGGTTGGAAAATATAGCGTGATTTCTTTTATCATGGTGCACGGTCGATAACGCCGACGATAAATAACATCGCCGCCTTAATTCCGACGGATTTCGATGCACTTCTCGCGACAGTCGCTAATTAAGCGATCGTCCGCATTTATCGCGGTCATGTAAACGTGCACGCGCGCCACCGGATGTACAAGTGGGAGAAAAAATTCGCACGGTCCAACCGAGTGAATCGCGCACGACGAGTATACGCGTCATCTTGTCATTCGAAACGACACTAATTTATTCGACAATGAATTATTCCAGCTTTTAAATAAACATTCAACCTTTCTCTCGCTTCAGTTCTCCATGAAAATAAATCGCAGGCGTCTCGAGTGTAACGTATATGCACGTCATCGGTTGATTTTATTCATGCAAGCTACGTTTGTAAAATAAAATTTTACCGAATTAATTGATCGGAGTAATATTGATGGTTAAGGGTAAAGTCACGTCGCGCGAATGCTTTCTTCCGACACTGTATGTCGGAGTGTCATCAGTCGTAACGTTAACGGGTACCGACGACTCCGATAACAACAAATATACGCGCGTGTACCGCTCTTTCTGTTGATGAAACTTACATTCCTCCACTTTTTAAAATATCGATACGAATTATGTAAAGGCTTATTATGTAATCGATCGATAACGCCGGACGATACGTAAAAATACGCGTAGCGGAGAGAGAGAGAGAGAGAGAGATATACGTGTACATATGTATATGTATGTATGTTATATATAAAGAAGATTAGGGAGTAGGGGGACTTGTATTCATATACTCGAAGACCTTAACGAACCGACGAATCTCATCGTTACGTTGAAACCTTTGAGCATGCCTGACCTATGATAACGACGAGAATTCATTGGAGTTTTTATTTCGAGCCGATGCAATTATTTAAAGACGATTATAATTGAATATATTATTAAATCGCGTTATCTTTGTTCACGAGTCGTTTGTTATCGACACTTTTTTGCGAGCGAGGACTTCGTATCCATAGAATTGAACTTTTTGGTCAATATCAGTTGGCTCCGTATTTAATTGAGGTTAAACGATCGGCAAACTACCAGAGGATTTCTTTCCCCACGAAAGTTATTTGCTCGGCGAAAAGTAAACATTCGGGCCCGAGGAAAAGATTCCATTATTGACAAAATATGCCCAGAACCGGTTTTCATTTACACGAAAAAGGAAGGGAAAAAACAACAAAAGTGGCTAGCAGCGTGCCGCCGCTAGACAAACCGGTTAGCAAAATTTAAATATTTTCTTTTTACGGCACGAACGACTACGTTTCTATCACGCGACGACCCTGCCGTTAAAAGCAGCCTTGATGAGCTATGTGTTAATCCTTCGTCCTTCAGATCTTTTTTTTTGCTACTTTTAACACGCACACACGCACAAAGACGCACAATACATTGTTACGCGACTCTGCATTACCAATAAGGAAGGAAA